CTTAACAACAACAACAACATGATGTTATCAGTGTCCAGGTGTGGCACTATAGGATAAGCACTAGTCTGCTAACTGACAGATCAGTGGTTCAAACCCACCAGCTACTCCTCAGAAACTCTATACAGGGTCACTGTGAGTTAGAACCAATATCACAGCACTTAACAGCAATGGTGCTAATAGGCACTCTTCCAGATGCTGTGGATACGATAGTAAATGAGAAGAAATGGTTGCCTTCATGGTAGATCCATTCCTGTTTCCCAATCCTACAACTTTGTTCAATGAGTTCTCTGTGGTCTGAAGGACTATCCTTCTAGGGCTGCTAGGAGACAAGGGAAACATGGTGAAAGATACCAGTGAGGCCTGAGCAATGCATCTTTCAACAAAATTAAAATTAGGCCATGGGTATAAGAAGTGGTTAAGTTCTAAGAATACAAAGTAACTGAGGCCAATATTGTGGATGTGACTTTTGCCTTATGCAGACTGTTTTCCTTTGGAAGTTATCAGTTAGAATGTGCTTCTTGTTGTTGTGAAGTGCCATCGAGTCGATTCCGACCCATAGCGACCCTGTATAGGATTTCCAAGGAACACTTGGTAAGCTTGAACCACCAATATTTCACTTCAAATGACTTTGCAGTCTGACGCATTAGCCAACAGCGCCACACCAGAACTCCTAGAATGTGCTTAGCACTTCACAAACCCACTGCCACTGAAGCGATTCCAACTCATAGTGATCCTGTATAGGGCTTCCAAGACCATAAATCTTCACAGAAGCAGACTTTCTCATCTTTCTCCTACCAAGCAGAGTGGGTTAGCAACCCAACGCCTAACCTACAGTGCCATCCGGGCATCATAGCACTTCACATGAAATATATAATTTAGCTTTTAAATGACCCTCAGTTTATAGACAAGGAAAAACAGAGGCACATCAGTTAAATTATTTGTCTGACACCATAAAACTAGTGACAAAGACTGTATTCAAATTTGTCAGACTCAAGCCTACGTACTCTCAAATCTGGAAAGAAAAAATGGGCCAAATATTAGGGTATGCCTTTCCCTAGGTCAGAGGAAGATGTCTGTACTTAATTCTTGAAATTTCCAAATACTAGCTGGTGTGGTGCTATAAGATAAGCACTGAACTGCTGACCACAGCTTGGTAGTTCAAACCCACCAGCCACTCCTCAGAAACCCTATACAGGGGAGCTATGACTGATTCAACTAGCTTAACAAAAACAATATCATGGTTGAAAAGGAGCCCTGGTGGGTTAGATGTTGGGCTGCTAACCACAAAGTCTATGGTTCAAACCCATCAGTGACTCTATGGGAGAAAGATGGAGCTGTCTATTCCCATAAGGATTTAGTCTTGGATAAATTTGAATCAACTCAATAGCTGTGGATTTGATTTTGTTGGCTTTATCATGGTGCATGGAGCCTGGTGGCATAGTGGGTTAAAATATGGGCTAAAAGTTTAGTGGTTAGATCCCACCAGCTGCTCTGTAGTGGTGGTGGTGGTGGTTATGTGCTGTGGAATCAGTCCCAACTCATAGTGACCCTGTATAGGGTTTCTGAGGGAGCTCTGGTAGCGTAATGGTTACGAATCGGGCTGCGAACCTTAAGGTCAGCGGTTCGAAACTACCAGTTGCTCCGCGGGAGAAAGATCAGGCTTTCTACTCCCATAAAGATTTACACCCTCGGAAACCCTGTACAGGGTCGCTATGGGTCGGAATCGACTCCACGCACTTAACAACAACAACTATAGGGTTTCTGAGCTATCTTCCGCAGACTGGCTGGTAGTTTTGAGCTGCTGACCTTCAGGTTAGCAGCTCAAATCGTAACCATAGGCTACCAGAGCTCCTTAGCTGCTCCATAGTATAATATGGCAATCTGCTTCCATAAAGGTCTATAACCTTGGAAACCCAAAGAGGCAGTTCTATTCTTATCCTCTAGGGTCACTGAGTCTGAATCAACTCAAGTGGCAATGGGTTTGTTTGTTTGTTTGTTTGTTTTTTAATCGCAACAGTTTCTTTTTTATTTTAACTTCTTTGGGTATATATACATGTTGAGTGAAGGTTTAGAGAGCAGATCATCAGTTTTACATTCAACAAATCATATACTTTGTTTCATTTCAATGATTACAATTCATTCTACCATGAATTAACAGTATTTACCTCTATTCCTTTTAACCTTTACACTCCTCCCTGTATCCTTCCCTATCTTCATCTTTCTTCTGCCAATCTCCCACATGTATATTGCCTTCCCCATCATCCAAGTTACCACATGCCTACCCCCTACTGTTGCTGTTGCCTGCAGTCAATTCTGACTCATAGCAACCCTGTATAATAGGGTTTCCAAGGCTGTACATCTTTATGGGAACAGAAAGCATCATCCTTCTCCAGTGGAGTGGCTGGTGAATTTGAACTGCTGACCTTTTGGTTAGCACCCCAACCAGTTAATAATTTCCCTTCCCTCCCACACATTATAATCATCATAGAATGTTTCTTTAGCATGAAAACCTTTTCTTGACTTTTTACAATAGTGGTCTCATGCAGTATTTGTCCTTTTGTGATTGACTAATTTTACTCAGGAATCCTGGTGTGGCTCTGTAGAGTAAGAACTGCATGGCAAGTTTGATTTGAACCACAAGATCAGTAGTTCAAACTCACCAACTGCTCCTGAGAAACCCTATACAGGGTTGCTATGAATGAGAACCAACTCAACCAATGGCACTTAACAATATCACTCAGTATAATGTCCTCCAGGTTTATCCATGTTATGAGGTGTTTAACAGATGCATCATTATTCTTCAACATTACGTAGTATTCCATTGTTTATATTACCAAAGTTTGTTTAATCATCCTTCTGCTGATAGGCATTTAGGTTGTTTCCATCTTTTTGCTACTGTGAATAGTGCTACAGTGAATATGGGTGTGCATAATGTTTGTGTCATGGATCTTATTTACTGAAGACATATATACCAAGTACAGGACTGCTGAGTCACATGGTATTTCTATTTCCAACTTTTTGAGAATGCACCATACTATTTTCCTTAGTGGTTACACCATTTTACAGTCTCACCAGCAGTATAGGAGGGTCCCAGTCTCTCCACACCCTCACCTGCATTTGTTGTTTTCTCTTTTGTTGAACTTTGCTATTAATGCTGGGGTAAAATGATATCTCGTTGTTTTGATTTGCATCTCTCAACTAGCTAATGATTGTAAACTTTTCCTTATATGTTTGTTGACCACCCTTGGTTTGGGTTTTGCTTTGGGTCATGTCTAAAGGAGCCGTGGTAGTGCAATGGGTAAAGTACTCAGCTGCCAACCAAAAGGTCAGTAGTTTGAACCCACCAACTAGTCCATAGGACAAAGATGTATAGTCTGCTTCTGTGAAGATGACAGCTTTGGAAACAATATGGGGCAGTTCTACTCACTGTGTCATATAGGGTCTCTATGAGTCAGAATCAACTCCAGTGGCAACAGGTTTTTTTCAGGTTTTATTAAAAAATTCCTTAGCTCGACCCACCTAATTTAGGAACCTCTGGTGGCATAGTGGGTTACAAGTTGGACTGCTAACTGCAATGACAGCAGTTTGAATCCACCAGCCTCTGTTGGAGAAAGAGGAAACTTTCTGCTCCCGTCACCATTTACAATTTCAGACACCCTACATTTGGTCACTATGAGTCAGAAATGACTCAGTGGCAATGGTTTTGGGTTTATTTTTTTGTACCCACCTGACTGCAGAGCTCCAGGAGGAAAGCCAAACATGAGAAGCATAAGCTGTGAGGCAGGGTGATTATCATTATCCTGAACATTCTAGACAATTAGACCAATAAGGTTGGATAAGATTGCATCTTCTATTCAGGTAGGAATTGAACCCCAAAATTCTCTGTTGTTCCAAATGGTTCAGCATAGTATTGAGCACAGTGATCTCAACAGAAACTTATAATTTTAGAAGGGTAGATGCTCCCTTTCAAAAGGTCCTTGGAGATGATACAGGGAGAAGTTGATTCTGGGAAGCAGGTTGTGATTAAAAGCTGGGTGACAAGAGGGTTTCCTTCTGAGGAGGGCATCTCCTAGCCCCTGGCAAGGCAGTATTTCCTAAGTCCCTGCTTCCTAATCCCGCAGCTCCTTTAGAACATTGGACAAGCATTCTGTCATGCTCAAGATTGGATGGGAAAAGGTCCTTTGGATTGAAGGTCCTGGTGTTCAGAAGTGGTATCACTCTCTTCTTCCACTGACCGCTATCCCCAGAATTTTGTACTCAAGCTCATGTAAGTTATTTCCTCTACTGACTCGACTACCCTCCTTCCCCAAGGCACTTCTGTTTTGTTGGCTAATTCCCACTGGTAATTGGTTTTGCAGCTCTGTTAGGAGTTGTTTCCTGTGTTTATTTCATTATACAGGAAAGAGGAAGGAGAAATTCGAGTGGGCCAAACGGATTAAGAAAATGATGCCTGTCTCCCTGATGTCCAGATGCAACAAACTCTTAGTCTTCGCCCCTATTTCCCTGGTGCTGCCCCCAGGATGAGAACTTGGTGGAGAAGCACTGCCTGCAGCTAAAATAACTAAGGAGGTTGAGGATGACTGCCAGGGCCCAGGGATGCTTGAGGTATGCCAACACCAACTGTGGTGGAGAGGTTTGTCATCCTGTGGAAGTACTGGAGAAGTTGGGGGTATGCTGGGGGAAAGAAGTCAGAGATGAGCTCAAGGCCCCCAGAGAATGAAGCCTTTGTGTGGGTAGAGATGAGGGAGACAAGTGGGTAATTGTATGGGAGGGCCGGAAGTGCCAAACAGACTTGTACCACCATAGCCAGCACCAGATTCACCCCTCTCCTACTCTGAAAACCTCCTGTGCCCCAAGGGGCCAGTTCCAGACCTGGCCAGGGAAAGAAAAATATGCCTGAAGACTGTAAGGGATGAAGGATGGAAAGGAGGATATGCAGCCAGGGAAAAAAGAGAACCGTCCCTACCATTGTCCCTGACCCACAGAACAGGAGGCAGCAGGAAAAAGACAGAAGCAGCTTTTACTATATTTATATCCAACAAAACTTCACTGGGAACAATCCTTATTGCACAGGTCACAGTCCCAGGTGGGTGAGGCATCCCCCAAGGAGGAGTGGCCAAGGATTATGAGTGGAGGGGCACCAATTCTTCCCACAGAGAGGTTGGGGCTCCTCTAGTCCAACCACCTGACTTTCAAGGAGCTCCAAACCACCAGACCATGATACACTATTTCCCTTCTTTCTTACCCTCCAAAAGAACTTCATAAGCGTGGAGGCTGTGGCTCCAAAATAAATAACTTAAAATAAAATACAAACACTAAGGTAGGAAGGCATGGGGAGCCTTGGGCTCCTTCAGCAATGCCAGAGGAGCTATTATTGGTGGGGAGTTCCTCCCTCCCATTCAGGGCAAAGGCTCAGTAGCTCTGTATCTTTCCAGTTGTTTTTTAAAACAAAAACTTCTAAAATGACCAGGGCAATGCAGATCTGTGGGTACCCTGGGAGGGGGGAAGGTTCCTGATATAGGACAGGGGAGGAGCAGAGCTGTGCCAACTCACTCCCAACATCAGCACAAGCAAATTGGGCAGGTTGGAGATAATGAAACTGTAACTTGTGGTAACAGTGGGTCCTTCTTCCTGCTAACCCCTTCCCCTTGGAGCCTATGGCTGGGCATGCTTGCCAGTCTATTCCCAACTCCTCTATGAGGGGAACAGGGAAGCAGATTATTGCTAGAATCCTTTCTTCCCCATCCTACCCCAAAGCTAGGGTGGGGAGTTCTGGGTTCCTAGCATTCCAGAGGTGCTCCAAAACATTTGCGGCAGTCAATGGCCTTGGGGGTGGGCATCTGTGCTCGTCGCTGCCTCAGCTCTTCCTTGCCCATGCTGCTGGCCAGCTTGTTAAAGGCAGACTTGTACTTCTTGTCGAAAGCCACTAAGGAAGAGAGTAGAGGCCAATGCATTAGGTCCCGTCTCCCATTCAGGCCCCTGGTCCCTGAACTCCTCAGCTCCTGCCTGCTTCTTCACCTATGTCCACGTGGTCCTTGCCCAGAGCAGCCATTGTCAGGAACAAGATTTCGCGGTAGATGCCCCTGGAGTGGAGACAGCATGGTGAGAATGAGAAGCAGAGAGTGTGAAGTCTAGGATAGGCCTGGGACTTCCCAGATGAGAGCCGCATACCTCTGTAGATGCAGGCCAGTAGGCTGAGTGTCCAACAGGAGCCCCACAGCCTTGTGCACCTCATTGAGTCCGACATGGCGTAGCACTGACTCCAGCAATGCCAGGCTAAGGGATGCAGGTGCTGGGCCTGGCCACACAACCCGTTGGGGAATCTGGCCTGAGTGAAAGGAAGGAAGGTTGCCAGGATCACTGAGCCCTCTGGCTGGGGGACTGACCTCTCTCCTACCCTAGGCCAAATCCCAGACTCACTGTGTACCCTCCAGAGCACATAGAGAGGTGGGCAGCTGCTAGGGTCAGGGGTCAGGACATCCCACAGCAGCCGCACCTGCACAGAGGCTGGATCAGGGGGTAGCCAAGGAGATGAGGCCTGGAGGGAGCCAAGAAAAAGGAAACAATTAGGCTCATGGAATGGGAGACAGAGGACAGGAAATGTTCAAAGAGACACAAGAATATTACAGGACACAGACAAAGAGAAGAAGGAAAGCAACTAACACACACACACACCTGCCCCTATTAGAACGTAAGCCCTTTGAGAGCAAGGGCTTTATTTTATAATCTGTTACATCTCTAGTGTCTAAAAACTTTACCTGGAACCTGAAAGATACTCAACAACTATTGATGAAGTGAATGAATAAGCAAATATTAACGAATGAATTTCTACATAACAGCCACTACACAATGTGTGTCTAGCCAACAGCCCTGTGAGGAGGATGCTTATGCTCCATTTTACAGATAAGGAAACTCAGGCTCAGAGTGAAACAGGTGAAGTGAAAGGACCAGGATTCAGACTAAGTGCCTGGTGAAAGGACCAGGATTCAGACTAAGTGCCTGTGCTCCTGTGCTCTGTGACAAGGACACAGAGCACTAAGAGGACCAAACGCTGGAAGATGAGGAGGGAAGCAGGGATCTATGAGGGCACAGACCTGGGGGTGTGGCGGCACATCACAGGAAGCTAACACCAGGTCTGTCAGAATACTGGGCAGGCGCAGCCGCTGGAAATACCACAGAAGGTTCCAGAAGATGATGGGATGGGCAGCAGGCAGCTCAGGTAATGCCAGCACCTCACTGCCCTCATTCTCCACCAATGACTCCAGCTCCTTACGCAGCACCAGGGGGCTCAGGTATGCCCATGACCCACCCTCGACCCGCCGGGAGGCACTCTGTCAGAGACAAGAGGGAGAGGACAGTGAAGGCCATGTACCAGGACCCTATCCCCAGAGCCTTATTTCCCACTGAGCCATCATGTCTGGCAGCTTCTGGGGTACCCCTTGCCCTTAACGCCCATCTCTCCTGAGTAGCCCTGGGTATCCCCAACAGGCCATCACACCCCCATTTCTCATGTCCCTTGGGCCCAGCCCTTACCGCCATGTGCCCATTGCAGAGCTGGGGCTCATCCAGAGCCAGGCAGAGCCTGCGGTCACTGAGCACAGGGCCAGGGCCCCCAGGAACAGGAGCATCTTTGCTGTCAGTGGCACCAGCAGGGGCAGGCTGGGGGCTGGAAGCACTGCAGGTGTGGAATAGGAGAAGGGGTCAGTTTGGGGATCTTCAGATTCCTGCCCCACCCACAGCACTTGTCCTGCCTTGGGCACCTGGGTCGGGAATCAAGGGTCTGGACACTGAGTAGGGGCACAAAGGGACAGGCACAGAAGGGGCAGGTTGTATTGAGATTGGAGTCATCAGGTGCCCAGCCAGCCATGATCTCCTCATCGTACACCAGCGAATCACAGGCACGGCACAGGGAGCAGCTAGACAGAAGAATCTGCAGGCAAAACGACACTTAGCAATAGGTAGGCCCTGCTTGACCCCCAGCACCCTGGTCCCTCCCACGTCCTCCCCACCCTGTCCCTCTGACAGGGTGAGTGTGTTGTCTGTGTGTCTGTGTATTGTGTGTGTGTTCATATACATCTGTGTATGTGTGCAGGGGGTTATCCTCACTTCCAGGGAAGGTGGCTGGATGGATCCAGGGGCATCACTGAGGCGCTCTGAGGAACGGCGAAGGCTCTGGCTGCTGAGAGAAGATTCTGAGATGTCCCACTCACTGCCCAGAGAGGCTGAGCTCTGCCATTATATGAGAAAGCATGGTCAGCCAACTATACAGGATACTTGTTTTACCTCCCCACATGGCCCCTTACTGTGGGCATTCTCCCTCCCCATTAGCAGTCCCTCCCCGGGCCTCCAGGTGCTAAAGTGTCTAGACCCTCTTCTTGGATGGCTACCTCTGAGGCAGTAGATCCAGGACGCTCCCGGGGGTGGAGAAGGCTCTCCATAGGGCTGCGCCAGACTTGGGGAGGCATGTCAGGGGGCAGCTCAGGTAGGGGAGCACGGGAGGCTGAGGAGCGGCGGGAAGGAGTGAGCAACTGTTGGAGGCGAGCCCCCAGCCCTCGTCGGGGGGTGCCAGCTTCATCCTGACGTCCAGCAGCCTTGGACATCTGCCCACTAAGCCCTTCCAGAGCCTCAGCAGCCTGGGCATTCAGGACTGAGCCCAAGGCCCCTGGACTGCCTCCAGGCAATGGGTCCTCCCCTGTCAGACTCAGATCTGAGAGGCTTCCATCATGCCAGGGCACAGGTGATCCCCGGGGCTCCAGGACCCCCAAGGCCTCCATCACTGCAGGGCAGAAAAGAATCGGAAGAGAGAGCTGGGCCCCTCCCTGCTCTAGCTTCCCGTCTCCTGAGTAAACCCAATTCCTGACTACAAAAACTCTAGCATTACAACCACCACCTCCATGACAACTTTCTGGGCAAGATTCCCAGAGTCTACAGTGCCCACCACAGAGAGTCACCCCTACACCCCAGCTCTGGTCTTCCTCTCACAGGCAAGTGCTTAGGAAAGCTGAGTGAAGGGAGTATCAGACAAGAGCACTCACTGTGGGCCACGCCGGCCTCCACAGTGGGCTGTGCCCTATGGGCACTGCCCAGACTGCTGCTCTTCACCAGGCGCCCCATTGGGGAGGCTGGGTCCCGCAGGCTGCGCCCAGCCCAGGTAGTCTGCCGCTGAAGGGGGCGGGTGGGGGAGGGGCGCTCCAGATGGGGATCTGTGAAAGCCAGGGAGGGGGTTTAGAGACAGTCAGCTAGAGACCTAGTTCCCTGTTCTAAAGCAGAGCTCCTTGGATGGATCTGGGTTTGTAGGGGTCCTCCCAGGCAGAACTCCATCCCTTTTGTTACTAGCCAAGTGTAGCTCATCCATGCCAAGAACACCCAATGCCAAATCCTAGGCTTGCCCCAGTTCCGCTCCCTGCCTGAGCCTAGCTACTGGATCTTCAAGCCTGCTCACCAGTACCTACCCACCTGTCTGGGAGCTGCCTGTCTCTTGATGTGCTGCTGTTTCTTCCTGCTGCTGCTGCTGCTGCTGCTGCTGCCTCCGTTCTCTCAAGGGCTGGCGGAACTGAGCAGCCCCCAGGATGACATTCCGGAGCTTGGTCCAACGCAGGCGCCCACCCGGTGTGCCAGATGGCCACTTGCTTTCCAGAACTGCCTGCCAAGCATAGTACCCATCAAGATGGCCTGTTTCCACACTTTGACCCCAGCATGATGTCCACAGTCTGCCCAGGACTCTAGGGACCACCTTCCCCTCCAGACAGCCTGTCCACAACTCAGGCTGTCCTGCCCGGGGCTCAGCTCCGAACAAGGGAGGGTGGCAGCAGATGCTTCTGGAGGGGCCCAAAGGAAGCTAGAAGCAGTGAAGAACGTTTGTATCCAGATTCTGCTACTTATTAAGTTATATGGCTTAAATAAATCATTTCACTGTTTACTCAGTAGTTTCCTCATCTAAAAAAATGGGAGCCAATTTAGTATCCCAGTTAAGAGCCTGAATTCAGGAGATAGGACACTTGTACTTACGCCATCATTAAGTGCCATTGAATCAGTTCTGACTCAGAGCAACCCTTTATAGGGTTTCCAAGGAGCAGTTGGTGGGTTTGAACCACTGATCTTGCAGTTAGCAGTCCACTGCTTATCCTACAGCACTACACCATGACTCCTGTGCCATAGGAGTTTCAAAAAGTTCATGGAAAAATTCCGTTTGTCTTTTTATTCAACTTTACCATGAACTTTTTTGAAGCCCCCCTAACTTAATCACTATGGGACCCTGGACAAGTCATTAACCTTTCTGCAACTTCATCTCTCTAAGACAAGCTAATAGTCACTCCCTGTCTGCCCCTGTGCTAAAACACACTGATTTAAAAAGTAAGATGTATTTAGAACCGAGCCTGAGCACAATGCCGACAGTGGTCACAGCACCTATATGAGATGCACAGGCTCAGCCTCTACGGAGCCAAGCAAGCACATACACATATGACAGTCTGCCTTCCCAACCCCAGCCCCAAATTCAGTACCTTGTTGTAGTAGCCATAGGTGATGGTGTTGGGCACGATGCCTGCCCGCCGCATCTCCAGCATGACCCGCACAGATAGCACGGGCTGCCCGTAGTGGGAGCAGAGTTGCATCAGCACCCGGTAACACACCTAGACCCAGAGAGATGCAAGATGAGAGAGGACTCACCCCCAACTAAAGCCTCAAGCTCAGCCAATACTCTGGCAACTTCCCCAATTCTCAAACTTGACAGGCTCTTGGCAGCTCTTCCTGCTGACCCTGCCACCCTGCAGGCTCAATTGGTAGACCTAATCATGTGAATTCTTTGAGTGAATATTCGTGGAGCATCCACCCAACACTGTTCCCACTCAATCTCAACCCCACAACTTTCCCTGATCCCCACCAAGCTTCCCTATCATGTTCCCCATGATAGCACATGCCTCAGACGGGTAGGGAGTGGCTGCCTACCTCATCAGGAAGCACCACCTTACGACTCTCCATCTGGCGTAGGACGTGGTAAGCTGTGTGCAGTGCCCGTACCCTCGAGGGCGCCGCCCGCACATAGGCAGGCAGACACAGGAACCATAGCCCATAACAATGTCCCAGCAGGCACCGGGCCCACAGCTCCGGCATACCTGCTGACTTCTGTGCCATCCGCTGTGCCACCTTCATCTCCTGGGTGGGGTAGTGGGCACACCAGGGTAAGTACAATGCCAAAACTCAGGTCTTAAAATGATATGGGGAGAAGTCCACACCCAGCTAAGGCCCCTGAGAAGGGCAGGAGGAATGCCACATCACACAGATGTCAGCCCTGGAGTCCCAGGTGGAGATGCCTAGCCCCTGAACACATACAGGTGCCCTGAAAGAGGCAGCCAGCCCTGAGTTCCCAGAGAGCTTGAAGGAGGAGGAGGATGACAACAGCAGTATGTTTACAACACATTTAACAACATTATGGACTCTCTGGGTGATACAAATAGTTAACATTAACTGAAAGATTGGTGCTTCAAGTCTTCCCAGAGGCCTGGTATTCTACTTCTGAGAAATCAACCATCACAAACCCTATGGTACACAGCTCCACTTTGACATAGGGTTGCCATGCGTCAGAATCAACCTGATAATAACTGGTGGTTTAAAAACCTTTTAGGGTAGTCACTATTATGTGTACTGTCCCCATTTTAAAGACAAGAAAACTGAAGTAGCAGCCCTGAACCTGAACCAAGTCCCTCTGTGGTGCCTGCTGGTTACCTGTTTGGTACGGCGAGGAGCAGGACTGCTGGGAGCACTACGGGATGGGCCTGGCACAGGCAGAGCCCCAGGATGCTCTTGAAGAGACTCGAACAGTTCAGGCCGTAGTTCTGGGAACCCATCGTAGCTGGAGGGTTTACAGTGGAGCAACATCAAGGGCAGTCAGCACGGTGCCAAACTGCCTCTAGGCCTTGGAAAAGGGAGGGGACAAATAAGAGGCTCTCACCAATATAGGGGAGTGGGTTCACTGCCCTCTGTCACAGGAGGCTCCTCAGGAGGGGTGATAAAGACAGTGAGCTCACTTCCGGACAGCTCCTCCAGCTCTATCAAGGGTGTAGGCTCAGGCTTCTCCTGCTCAGGGTGGACCTAGAATACCATGGTACGTGAGCATCAAAAGAGTAGGCACTGAGCCAGGACCTAGGTGTCTAGATGACATCTCCTAGGGAAAGCACATCTACAGGGAAGCAGCTAGTGGGTCCTGACTCTGCCGGGGGCCTGTAGACAGAGCTAAGAGGACAGAGTCAGGAATGTGAAGACGGTACACAGCAATATGTAGCCCATAGGTAATAAACCTCGCGCAGCTACCCAAGCTGTGGACTGGATAACTCCAGGGCGCCATTCCAGCATCACCAAGCTTTACATTGGTGCTGCAGTGGTCCCAGACCAACAAAGACAGCCAGGAAGGAATAATGCTCAAGACCTTGTCAACACAGGAGTCAAAGAATTCCAGGGCAGCGTGCCGAGCAGAGCCAAAAGAACATTCTTCAATGAACTGCGAGAACATCTGTGTGTGCAGCAGCTGGGAGTATAGCTTGTGGCTGGAGCGTTCCCGGGACTTCAGGAAGCCTGAGGCAGGGAATGAAAATGGGGCAGAAGAAGGTGGTTTCCAGGGTTTCCACCACAGGCCCACCCTTCCCGAACTCCTTTCTTAGCTCTCTGCTCACTCAGGATCCTCATGGGGGCAAAGTTATCACTGACTCCTTTAGCACATCCACCCATATACCAAGTTGACCAACTCAGCTTCCCCAACACTATGGTCTCATGGAATCCCTCTCTTTTATCTGTCTGCACCGACTGCCTCAGACTGGAGGTTCTCCCAGAGGGTCTCCCTGAGAAGAACTTTTGCTCATGGGGGTTGCTTGCCACAGGTGTCACTATCTGTTTCCACCTCAAGCCCAGGTTGTTAGAGGCAGGGCACAGTGGGTTCATCTTGGTACCCTTACTCCCTCCAAGCCTAGTAGAATCTGGCTCAAAGCTAGTGCCCATAGAAATGCCTGTTGAGTGAACAAACAAGCAGCTGCATGGCTCCCAGTATTCCAGCTTCCCCATGGGGTCCAGGACTGGCTGTCCCTTCCCACCGAAATGCTCCCAAAGCAGAGCTGGGTCCTCTTTACCCTGCAGGAAGAAAAGGTTGTCCACATCTCGAGACCCCTCAGAGGGGGCCTGGGTGAGTGGGCGCAGGAAGTCCCGGTAGCCCTTGAGCAGACAGGCCATGAAGCGGAGGAAGGCGCCCTGGACTTCGCGCTCCAGCCGGACCCGGCGGCCACACACAGCCTCGTAGTCTGTCAGTAGGAATTCCAGGGATGCCTCCTCCTCAGGTCCAGTATACGCTGGGGACCAGGGTGACCAGAGAAGAGTAAGGGCTAGCACCAGAGTTCTTACCTCAACCCTGCTCTTCACACAGACGTACTCAGTGCTGACCCACCATCTCTAGCCTTTAAAAGATTTTGCACCAATGGTGGTATGGTTATGTGCCGTGGAGTCAGTTCTGACCCATAGCGACCCTGTATATGGTTTCCGAGGCTGTAAATCTTTATGGGAGCAGAAAGCCTCATCTTTCTCCCACAGAACAGCTGGTCATTTCAAACTGCTGACCTTAAGGTTTGCAGCCCGATTCATAACCACTACCAATAGCAATAGCAGCTCAAAAGTCACATCCAGGAGACAGTTTCAAGCCTCCCCAGTGGCAAGCTCGACCATCCCAACATGCTCCAGGAATACTGCATGCTCCTCCCTCTGGCTTAAGTTGGAATTTGAATCCTAATTTTTCTCACCTTCCCAAGTCATATCTAGCTCCCCTCAGGCCTCCCCAAACAGGAGCTTTATGGTCCAAGACAGTTTCCAGCCTCCCAACCCCCTCCTGATTTAGGCTTCTTACTCTGGTCCAGTTGCTGGTATAGGTTTGTCAGTGTGGCCAGCAGGACCTTGTAGGGCCTGCGGGGCAGGGTCCGAGGGGAGAGGGGTTTCTTTTCCTCAGTCCTGTGATTGGAACATAAGGAAGGGTGATGAGGCTGGAAGTCTGCTCACCTCCTCACCATCTGGCCCCTGCTTTTTTGCCTGGAGTTCTACACCCAGCCCTCTCATCTCCCTCCCGGATATTCCCTGCATGAGAGACAGCTCTCTTACTGGAAAAGTGTGTTGGTGTCAAGATCAACACAGATGACATCCGCAGGTGGGTCATGGAGATCGAAGTAACTGGAGTGGATACCCACAATGAAAGGCACCGGGGCGCTTAGCACGTCTGCCAACACCAGCGGGCACAGTGGGATGTAGGGGCACTGCCAGTGCAGCGGGAAGATCATCTGGAGCACCGAGGAGTAACAAGCAGTAAGCAGGACTTAGAGCAGCAGTGGCAGGAGAATGACAGAGTAGGCATTGGTTGTTGGGGAGGGGAGGGAGACAGTGCCTGCTTAGTAGAAACGGCAAGGATCAGGTGTCAAAGAAGAGCCCTTGATGGAAGCTGTAAGTCCCTGGAGGCTGAGGACCCTCCCCAAAGAAGGAAAAGGGGGACGGTCCAAGAAAGGATAAGAGTGGCACTAGAAAGAACAATGTTCTAGGGAAGGGGGGCTGGGTAGGGTGGCACTCACAGAGACGAGAGCCTCGCAAACACTGGTGAGCAGATCTGGCCGCAGCGAATGAACCAGTAGTTTGTGCTCCGTAAGCACAGCCAGCAGGAGTGTGATTGCCAGCTCAGGGCCTAGGCTCTGCAGCAGCTGCAAGAAGCTGGCACCACTGTGGGCAATGCCAAAGTGGGGTAGGGTCACCAGGAGACCATAGAGAGACTCCTTCCTCAGCCAGGAAGCACAGAGACTTGGGTCCACCCTGTGCTGACCAGCTGCACCAACCAGCCTGACATCTCCCTCCCTGCTCCTCCAACCTGTACACATACCTGAGGGGCAGGGGTGAGGATACAGGTTGACAGAGGAGCAGGTTGTCATAAGGAGACATCTAGAAGGCAGAATAGCCATCAGTCAGAATGATAATGGCCAACTCCCTTCCATCCATCCATACCCAACCTCAACCTCAGCTCTCACCTGCACTAAGATTCGGGGTCTCTGTGGGGAAGGGAAAGGGACGTTGTGAATGAAGTGGGAGATGTGCCTGGGGAGGGAAGGCAACAAGTCAGAGGCAGATACTCTCATATATCCCTGTCAGTGCCCCCTTCATTTTCCTCAAGAACCTTTTTTCTCTCTGAAACCTACCTCAACAGTTTCCATTGTAAACAGAACTTATGCATATCAGAAGGGCTCCCCTCTGGGCAGACACAGTCCCTTGCCAGGACTGAGCTAGGAAGTGTGTCCCACTGACCCCCTCCACAGTGAGTAAACTGTACAACCACACACAGTCAGAGCAGTTGTCTTTTACCCCTCTGTCCACAACCACCCCTCCAGTTCTACCCTAGTCTCTGCCATCTCTCCTGGCCTCCCAGTCCCCTCACAACCCTTTCCCAGTGTCCCAGAGGAGCCCTGCTCACGATTCCAAGGGCAGGCGGTGGGGGCCTGAGACGGAGTATCGGTAAAGGAAGGTGAGGAAGGCTCGGAAGGCAGGAAAGGCAGGCCAGCGGGACAGCACGGCAATGGCACGACGACTACGTACTGCCCGGCCCCCCAGCGCCCGGCCCCTTTCCACAGCACTCAGCAGGCCTAGGGCCCGAGCCTGCCGCTCTGACAGCCGGGCCCTGGAGAAAGCCTCGTAGAACTGCAGAGCAGCACCGTATACCTGGCAGGAGGCAGAGGAGCAAGTCAGGCAGGCCCTACAACGCCTGAGCCCCTAGCCACACTCAAAACACCCACCTTATCACCAGCTGCCCCTGTGAGCACAAAGGTGGAGAAGACAGGCACGGGGTACTTGGTCTGGGCAGGCCAGCACTCAATAGTGGTCCCCATGGGCAGGCAGAAGACGGGTACTGACTCGGGCAGCGGAAATGCTTCATTGTCTTCCTCTGGGTAGCGGCCCAGCAACTCTGCACCCCCGGCACATTGGAGTACCCAAAAGGAGGAGGGTTTGTCAGACTCCAGGGGAAGAAACCAGGGGATACCAGAAAAAGGCCAAGTGGCAAAGGCAAAGTGGGTACTGGGGCTTCTGGAGGTGACAGTCACAAGGTCCAGAGGGAGAGGAACATAGAGGGCCAAGGGGTTGAAGGAACAAAGGAACTACTCACCTGCCTCATACACCAGTGTATTGGCCTTAGCCAGGCCCACCTTGTAGCACAGGTACACTGCTGGGCCCCACTGCCCAAGAAATGGCAAGAGACAAGCAGATACATAGCTAATACAGATTTCTGGGGTCTATTTTCTCTCTACCACCGTACCAAGCCTTTGTCTTCAAAGTACCCATTAATCTCCGTTTCCCAAGATCAGACTCACCCCTCTGGGTCTGCCCCTGTTGTTTGAGGCCTTGGTCCCAGGATGTCTTCTATGCCCAGTGTTCCTACCCTTACACCAAGGTGGTCCCAAGGCCCCACTCACCATGCCAGGGTTGAGGTTGCGGGGCAGTCGGCAGTAGGTGTGAGGAGTGCCCTCCCCCTTGCTGGGCAGGACCAAGCAGAGGTCAGTGATGCCCAGGGCATGCAGCCCTGCCCCCTCTGCTGCCCGCCGGTAAATGAGGTAGGTGCGGGGGTGTCCAGGGCCTGGAGGGGCCAGGTTAGCTGAGTGGCTGTAGGGTGTCGTATCTAGTACTTGGAAGCCAGGCTTGGGACGTTCCTTCCCCTCATACAACACCCTTAGCACAGAGAGCAGAGAGATGTCAACAGTTTAAGACTGAAGAAAAAGACTCAATCCTGGCAGATCTGCCTATCTATTCCCCCAAAATTGCCTTATTCCCTCAGCTTCATCAAATCCCAACACCAGATCTCACCTCTTCTTTGCTGAACTCTGCCCTCCAGAATCCAGTGCCCCCTCTTCTGCCTTTGGCTCTCCTTCTTGGTCAGTAACAACCCCTCACGCCTTCCATGGCTCTCAAACTCATTTAAAAAATGCTAAGAATAATAAAAGCTACCACTTACTGAAGAGCTTTTTACATGGATTATCTCATTTAATCTCAGCCACTCTATAAAGAGACATTATTATCCCATCCCCATTTTACAGATGAGGAAACATAACCCAGAGAGGCTCTATAATCTGCCTAAGATCACACAGCAAATAGCCCTGCTAGTACACAAATTCATACAACTTTAGTCCCTGTGCCCTGACCTCTAGGCTATTCTGTTCCCTTTGCCACTGCTTCTCCCTCATGTCATATCCCTACCTCACCCTGGCCGCCACCTCCCACCAGCCTCTTCTGATGCTAGCATGGGTAAGAACACACACCCCAGTTCCACAAGGGGAGGCTTGTCACGACCCCTGCGGTAGCAGATGACGGGCTGAGTTCCACCCAGGAGCCCAGCACTGAATTCCAAGGGGTGGCCCCCAGTGGAAGCCTGGATGCACGTGTAGCCCTGGGGCACTTCCTCGCCCAGTGCCCTAGCGATGACCGCCACATCTGTGATGGGTTCAGCTGGCCGGTGAGAGCGCAGGGGCCCACTGGGTTCAGGAACCCACGTTTCCTCAGGGATAGGTGCTCCATTCCCTCCAAGCCCAGCTACCACGAAGTAATCCACCAGTCGGGGGGGGCGCTCCTCTGCCATGGCCCCCCCCTCACTCACTGCATCTAGAATGATCAAGGGGGAGAGAGATGAAGCAAGGAAGGCAGGTGCTGCCATGGCAACCAAGGTAGCTTCTCACTCGCTCCCTTCTTCCTAGACCATCCAAGGTAAGGTAGGATAAGTGGTCAGCCAATCCTGAACTCTCCCGCCTGTGACATCACCAGACATTCACAGTCCACCACAACTCCTTAAAGAGACCAGGTCCTTCATGCTTGCTGGTACCTGTTCTCTCCCAAAAGAACCCAAACTCCACTCTACTGTACACAGCTAACCTGGGACTGAAATCATATTATTCTTTATCCCTTCTAGAGGTCCCACTCCTCACTCTCTCCTCATACATGCAACAGAGATGGGTTTTTCTGTAATGGCCTACAATGACATCATTCATTCTGGCCATGACATCATTAAGTCTTGTTAAGGGTTTCTGACCTTCCTATTCTAGTTGCGACACTGTAAGAACTTCATGATCTAGCTACTATTCTTAAAGAGCCCATCTCATGAAAATCCCACAGGTTTCTGGCAAAGCCCACAAAATCCAAGCTTTAGTGTCTTCACCAGACTCAAATGTCCTTTTTCCTAACCTAACTACATCAACCTGGCCAAACAGCCAGTGCCCTCTCACCTCCAGGACCATAGCTAAGTCCAAAGTAACCATGCGAGAGAGTCCCAGCAATCACCACACCCTACTCCACCAACCCAGAGACTTCCCGAAACAGGCCCACAAAGGGGTCCTCAGCTCCGGGGTTCTCACCTGCCTCCATAGCCCAGCCCCTAGGGTCCTGGGGAGTCCCAGGATGCAGAAACTGGGAAAGCGCTTGGTGGGTGGCTTGTAACAGGGACTGGAGGCATGGGGGGGGGGGCTGCTTCAGAGGGGAAGGGAGGTGACTTCCTGTAACAGTGGAGGGGAAGCTGCAGCTCAGCGGAAGTCAGCATATGGGTATGGGTGTGTGGTGGTGGTGATGGTAGTGTAATGTTTGACTGGGTGCTAGCACAGTATCCTGCCTAGCAGGAATCTAATAGAGCATCGCAAAGGAAGCTCAGAACTCCAGGATTTGAAGTATTCCTAAACTCCAGACCCTCCCCCAGAGAGCAGGGAGCAAAGGGATCTCAAGAAGCCAGGCTGACTCTCTCCTTAACCTGGCCTCTGCTACCCTCAACAAACACCCCAACCCCTGCTAAATTTAGTCTCCATGTCTGGGAGGTGAAGCCAGGAGTCAGCGTCAGTGTCCTGATTTAGCTCTGGGGCACAGCCCTAGTCCCATATCCACCGAAGGCGAATGGGAGCCCTACACCCAAGGCAGTAGGCAAGGGCCATTAGGTGGGACAAGATGAGGGATGGATGGCCCTCATCCTGCGTAGGACCTGGGCATTCAGGCCTCTCCTCACCGAGCCAAGGAAGAGCCCTACAATGAAGGCTACCCTCTCCAGGGGACAGCAGCCCGGTACAGGCACCACTCAGGGTCCAAACGACCACAAGCCAAGAGTCAGGAAGTTCGGGTTAGGGCAAAGGGCGCGCCGAAGGGGAGGAGGCTGAAAAAGCAGGAGGGCAAAGAGGAGAGGGAGCTCTGTGGCGGCAGCACTGCCGGCCACCGCGTGACACAAGCGGGAGGGAGGAGAGCTCCAATGCCGACAACCTCAGGAGCAAGAGGGGTGGGTGCGGGATGCTGGGGCGCAGCTAACTCCAGGCAGTGCCGTGCCCTCCCCTCCACTTTCACTTCCCCAAGAGAGAGGAACTGGAACCAGATGTGCAAAGCAGGGGAACAGCTGGGGAATATTCCCCGCCTGGCTGGCGCTCCCTCCCTTCCTTCCCCGCCTGCCGCAGCCCCTACCTGCCTGCCCCGCGACTTCCCTGCCGGCCAGCCCGCTGGCGGGTGGCGCGGAGGGCGGGCTGGCAGGCCGGCTGGCGGCGGGGCTACCCGGCCCCGGACATGGCGCACCCGACTAGGGCGCCGCTCGCGCCCGGGCGGCGAGTGAAGGAAGAAGAGGCGACCGAGGACGCCCAGGCGTGGGGCGTCTTGGAGGGAGATCCGGGCGGTCCCAGGGTCCCCGTCGCGCTGCGCCACGCAGGAAGTATGCTGCCGCGCCGTTCGCTCCGGCCGCACGGTCCTCCCAGTTCCCACGGCGCTGGGGGCCCGGCGTTCCTCCGTGCGCCCCGGTTTCTCCGCTCCCCCCACCCCCCTTCTGGAGCTGAGGGCGCCGCTGCTCCCCCAACCCCCTCTTGGGCTAGCGGCCGTGACCCTGGCAGCGCCTACCTAGCGCCCAGCCGCCTACAGCGCGACCCCTGGCGGCTGGGAGGGCCCCCTGCACCCAGGCAGCTTCCTACCACCCAGTAGAAGCTGCAGGACAAACCCCAGAGTGCCCCTGAAGTTCAAGGCGAGTTCCAGTCTAGCCCTGGGTCCTGCAGTTAAAAGATGTCTTGTGCTTGAGAAAGGACGAAGGGGACCCAGGTGGCTCCTCCCCCACTTCGAGGTTTAGAGGCAAATTGAATTCCCTTGGAGCCAGAAGCTCTCGGTTCTCTTTTCTGAATATACAAAGAGCTTTGGAAAGAGGAAGAGCAGAGGCCTGCACTTTATGGTGTGGGGTATAGTACTGAAGGTGAGGTTAATTGGATAGGTGTGCTACTTCTTACTGTGTTGGGTGGGAAGAAATGAGGGTAGACGCCCAGATGGTCAGAGGGCTAGCAACTTAACCCAGAAAGAGGAAAACTTGAGTTGGCACTCAAGCATCTGGTGAATTAAAAATACAAATGAATGAGTGGAGAAGTCAGGAGGGTTATGTGAATCATACATGGTGAAGAGACAGGAATGAGAGCTTCCCTAACACCTAGGTCATAGGGCCAGAGACTAGTCAGGCACCACTTTTCTCATTCCTGTCTTCTAGGCTTAAAGGGCCATAAAAAAGAGGGAACCAGCCCAAGACTTAACAAGGAATCTATAGTTGTTAAATCCCTTCTTTTTTGGCCATTACCCCCCAGGAGAACTGAGGTCATTTTACCAGAAGCATCAGCCTCTTCACCCTGTATCACTGCCAGACCTCAGAGTTGAGGAAGTGCAGTATCTTGTCTGGCCAGTTAAAGCCCCTGTCCTGCTGCAGAAGGGCCCTGGACAGACAAGAGGTAGCATCCTGTTGCCATGGGCACCTACTTCCAGCCAAGTTCAATGCTGGGCACAAATCCTGAGGTTGGTGGGGGTGGGGGAGGGGGTCCTTCCACAGAGCACAACAGTGCTGAGAAGATGCAAAACAAACAGCAAATGGAAGTGCTGCTCCCTAAGAAGTCCTAGATCCCCAGCCCCACCTCCAACAGCACTCAAACACAGTAAAGGTTTGATAGGTTTTTTTTATTAACATATAATATATTTAATAAAAAATAATATCCACTCTGGCTCTCTCCTCCATTGCAAGGGGAAGAGTAGTGAGGAGGGGCTGGCACTGCCCACCCCCAGGCATCGGGACAAGCCTGCCTCCGGGGCTCCCCTCTATCCCCTGCTTCCCAACAGGCTCTGTCCTCCAGACAAATGGTTCAAAGTTACAAGTGCTTTAGGCCTGCCCTTGAGCTCCCCCAGGCCCACCCCTAGTGCAGAATTCAGGGGCCACCTGGACAAACCCCTTGCTTTCTCCGTTCTTGGGATCCCTCATTCATGTTAGAAAGAGGATTTGGGGGCAGAGAGTGGAGTCTGTACTGGCCTGGGGGAAGGGAGGAAAGGGACAGTGATAGGGGATGGGGCCAAGAAGAGGGATGGTGATGAGGTGTCCTCACTGTAGCCGGTCACTGCGGAATGAATCCTCCACAGCAGGATCAGGCAGCAGGGCACAGGGGTCACTCAGCATGTTTAGCCCTTCAAGGCCCAGTGGCTCCATGCGCAGTTCATCCTCCAGTCCCAACCCCAGCTCCAAGCCATCTGTTGACACCTCAAAGCCAGGCACTCCAGCTAGGGCTGCTGCAATCTCCTTAGAGAAACCGGGGGAAGAGTCTCCTGTGTGGGTAAGGGAAACGGGTGAGGACCCTATGCCTTTTCAACTCTAAGACCCCTCAGTCTCCTACTGTACCATCACTCCTTCCACTCCTATCACCCTCCACACACTCCTCACCTGTGAGGATGATGTTAGGCCCTGAGCCATGGCGGGAACAGTGGGTCAAGTTCTGGTGATTGAGGGCATGGGGTTCCTGAGGGCTGCACACTGGTCCCTCACCCCCTAGAAGTCCAGAACCTTCAGAAAAGCCAGGGGGATCCAGCCCCAGGCTTGTTGATGTGCTCTCCATGCTGAACTGCTCCAGCTATGGACACACAGACAGACCTTGAAGAAGTGGACTTCAGAGCAGGGCCTTCCTGTCTCTTTCCTAGCCTTGCTAACACATGCCCTTTGCCCAGCAATCTTCATGTCCCCCAGGGTCAGAGGCAGAGATAGAGGGAGGAGGCAGCAAGCCAAGCTCCAGCAGTGAGCACTGGGACCTGAGGTGAGGATATCGTACCTGCTGGGAAAGAGCGTGTGCGTGCGAGGAAAAGAACAGGTCGAAGCACTGGTCATCGAAGAGCAAGCTGAGCAGAGACAAGCTAGGGGGAGAGGGGCAGGGATAGGGCAGTAGAGCCCAATGCAGGAAGAGAGGCGGCCCAAGCTGGAAGTGCTGTTATCTGGGGTGGGGGGTGGGGTGTCCCCAGCCTAGATGTCCCAATTCAGAATATACCAGAGACAGCACTCAGTCCCCCTTGACCGACCCCCAGGCCCTCCCCTGATTCTGAGCCAGAAGCCTGTATACTCACATTTCCCAGGCTGAAGTCATTTATTGGCCGGTGGTAAGACTGTTGCCCATGCCCACTAGAGCTGGGTGGGCACAGTGTCCCATAGTGTAGCTGCCTTCCTGGGGGCTGCCCACATGAAGGCTGTACTGAACAGGCCTGAGAGGGCAGTCCTGGCTGTTGTAGAGGCTTTAGGGTGGGTAGCTGGGTGGGCAGAACCAGACTGGGGGGACTGTATGGGTACGGGGGCAGTCGCTGGTCAGTGGGCAGTTTACTGGTGTCCAGGGGGACGCCCTGAAGGGAAGCAAGGAAAAAGGGGGAAGTTTACCCCTCAGCATACCTCCCAAGAGCAGCTCTTAGAACTCCCCACCATTCTCAACAAAAACATGACAATGCTCCATTAGTGTCCCTGGGGTTGGGTACAGTTACTCAAAAATGCCTATCAGGATAAAAGTGACTACCATAAGAATAATTCTGAATCTACTCCAGAAGTCAATCATTCCTAGACTTTGGAATACTTTAACTATTGTTAGAAAGCAAGTACTTGTGACAGACCTTACAAATGATCAACAGCACAACAGTGAGGTAGAGAACTTCTAAAGCCTTGAAGAAGCCAGAGGGAGGGTGGGAAGGAGAATAAAGGGAGAAAGCAGAGGGAGGAAGTCAGGCTCCCAGAAAGCCTAGCATCAGTAGGTCCTTGAGTAGAAGGGACCTGGGTAAAGATGGAACATAGAACATATATTCCAGGGAACAGCTATGGAGGAGAAGGAGAAAGCAGAGCAAAGGAAGGAGCACAAAGGGCTTTAAGTTGAGAAGAAAATGGGAGCAGAGAAAGTAAAATAAGAAAAAGATAAGGAGAGAGGCAAGAGCTGAGAATTTAAGCACTGAGTTTTAAAGAAGCCCTAAAGTAAAAGTTTTGAGTTCAACATCCCCTAACTTGCTATGTAAACTTGGGAAAAGTCATTTTTCTTCTGTGCCCGTTTCTCATCTATAAAAGGAAGGTATTGGGCACCATGATGTGAGATTCTCTGACTTTCTGAATACTCTGAAAGGAGGAAGAGTGGGAAAAGGGAGGCATGAAAAACCAAGAAAACAAAACAAAAATGGACAAGAGAATCAGAAAAGGAAGAAATAAATGACAATTTTTGAGCTTGTACCTAGGACAAGCACAGTGCTATGTACTTCATGAATATTTATTTCAATTGATGCCCACAATATCATCCTGGTTTTGTAGATAATGATACCAAAGTTCATAGATGTTGAATAGTTCAGCCAAGGATACTACTAGCAAGAGATGAAGCTAGGGTTTAAAGCCAAATGCTTAACCAATGAGAACTGCCCTTTTATAGAGGAGTTCAGATGGATAAGAGATGGGGCAAGTGAAGAAGAGAGGAGTGAAAGGATGAAGAAGAGAAAGGGGTACCAGAAGTACGGAGAAGAGGCATTTGAGGAGAGAGGGTGAGGGAGAGCAACTTTAGCGAAAGAGAAGGGGAAAAGAGACAGACATGTAGGGAAGGCAGCCATGCATACCTGAGTGATGGAAGACAAGGTGGGTGACACTGTTGGCGAAAACTGTTTGGGCAGCTGCTGTTGGGACCTTCTGGCGTCGGCTGGGCCCGCGGGCAAACTCAGGGGGCTGAGGGGTACACGGCGGTGGCGGGGGGAGGTCCCAGGGGTAGACGCTGGGTAAGGGGGGGCGCCCAGCACAGGAGAGGAAGTAGAGGAGGAAGAAGAGGAGGAGAGGGCTGGGGCACTGAATGAGGATTGGCCGAGGGAGGTGGTAGGCAGTGCACTGTGGGCCAAGGAAGAGGCGGGCAGTGAGGGGTGACTGTGGGAGCCCTGGAGCTGGGGCTGAGGATGATTCAGGGAAGCCTGGAGGTTGGGATTGCTTAGGGAGGACTGAAGGGATGGGTGGCTGAGAGGTGAATGAAGTCCTGCAGGCACAGACAAAAAACCAGAGATGCCAACATTACTGATGGGCATTGGGCCCCTTTCCACCTGCAATGGGTAACAGTGACCAGACTATGGACATGTCAACACAATGCCCTCCCTACTCTGTCTCTGACAGTGAGGTTGGTACTGCCCACCTGGGGGCTGCTCTCCATTTTCTTTCTAGGAAGAAACCATACCAGCTCTGACTAGTTGAAAATTGCAGTGAGGGAATCTTGGGGGAAGAGAGCTGATGGGCTGGTGTGGCAGTCACAGGCAGATCCCGGGTGCGCAAGTCTCCTCCCCTTGTCCCTCCAGGCAGGTAGCACCCTGTGGGCACAGGGCCAGGACAGATACTCACCTGGCATGTCATAGCCTGGGCCCAGGCCCAGGCCCAGGCTCCCGCTTATGCCCAGGTGGGTCATGGTGTGGGTCAAATTGGAGGTACTGTTGCCCCCACTCAGGTTGGGGTAGGCTGTCTCTTCAGGGTCCAGAGGGGTAGACAGCGGTGAAGGAAAGTGCAGGTTGGTGAGGTCAGGTAGAGAGCC